ATAGTAATTATACATACTTATGGGATCCAGGATGACATTACAATACATGCTTACAATGTGTAATAAGCAGATCAGTGTAACTGGCATATCTACTGCTTTAGATATTTTGTTTTTTGGTACTGGATATTGAACCTAGGGGCATTTAACCACTGTGCAACACCCCTAGTCCTTTTCTGTATTTTATTTAGAGACAGGTCTCACTGAGTTGTTTAGCAGCTTCGCTAAATTGCTGAGGTTGGCTTTGAACTTTTAATCCTCCTGCCTCAGCCTCCAGAGCCTCTGGGATTACAGTCGTGTGTCACTGTGCCCAGCTCTACTGTCCGTATTGGGAACATTCCAAATTCTCTCTAGTAGCTGTTTTGAAAGTCAGTGCAGGGCTGGGTTGTGGCTCAGTGGTAGAGCACTTGCCTAGCACGTGTGAGGCACTGGGTTCGATTCTTGGCACCACATAAATAAAGTACAGTTATTATGTCCACCTGCAACTAAAAATATTATAAAAGAAGAAAGAAAGAAAGTCAATGCATTGTTGTTCACTACAATTATCCTACTGTGCTATGGAACATTAGAAATTATTGCTCATGGCTGGGCGTGGCAGCACATGCATATAATTCCAGCAGCTGAAGCAGGAGGATCACAAGTTCAAACCCAGCCTAAGCAATTTAGTGAGGCCCTAAGCAATTCAGTGAGACCCTCTCTCTAAATAAAATACAAAAGGGGTCTGGGGATGTGGCTTAGTGGTTGAGTGTCTCTGAGTTCAATCCCTGATACCAAAAATAAAAAAATAAATAAGTTATTGCTGCTGTCTATCTATCCCTGTATTCATTGTCTACCCTCTCTCCACCCCCTGTACCCCATAGAATTTCCTTCCTTTTAAAGCTGAATAATATCCCACTGTAGGTACATACCACATTTTGTTGATCTATTCCTCCATTGATGAACACTTGGATTGCTTCTGCTTTGAAGTCTTATAATAACGTTGCTATAAACATATTTGTGCAAATAATCTGTTCAAGTCCCTGCTTTCAATTCTTCTGAGTATATATAAAAGTTCCATGTTTGTTTTAAAATGATGTCTTTATCATCCACTGAATTCTATATATTTAGGCCTATTTCTGAACTCTCTGGTGTGTTCCATTGGCCTATCTAATTATGTAACAGTACTACACTGGATTAGTCATTGTATTTTACAGCAGGCTTTTATTTCTCAGAGACCAGGCTTCTCTTTTCCTGGTTTGCTGGGAATGGTGGCACACATCTGTAATCTCAGAAACTTAGGAGTTTAGGCAAGGAAGATTGCAAGTTTGAGGCCAGCCTGGGCAATTTAGTGAGACCCTGTCTCAAAAATAAAAAGTAAAAATGGTTGAGGATGTGGCTCAGTGATAGAGTGCCCCTAGGTTTAACACCCAGTACTGACAGATAGAAAAAATTAAATTAAATTAAAAGTCCTGGTTTATCAGGCTTTATGTCTGAACCAAACGCTGTGGCTAGAAAAATGGAATGCTTTTATTGGCCAGGCTTGGACCTCAAGGCCACCCCTGAAGCAGAGAGAGGGATGGGAGGGAGTGGCTGTCAGCCTCTTACTAACCCTGAGGACTAAGAATGGGGGAAGGCCTCCCAAAGGAAAAGAAAGGTGCTATTACCAGTAAAAAGGATGGATACTGAACAGGCAAAAATAACAGATATCCACCATGATGTGAAAGTCTCAGAATCTAAGTCAACTTAGGGAACAGGCACCTACCAGTTATCAGAGGTCCAACACCCTACTAACACTCCAGCCTAATCCCTGGATTATCTCAATTAATCTCTTAACAATCCCATGAAATACTTCTGTGAACTGAGCTGAGACACTTTGGTCCCTTTGGTAGATGTCAGTAGTACACCACACTACACCCCTACTGCCTGGTAAGAAGTTAGGTGCTGGGAGGCCTGGCATGGTGGTGCATGCCTATAATCCCAACAGTTTGGGAGGCTGAGGCAGGAGGATTGCAAGTTCAAAGCCAGTCTTAACAACTTGGGTAGTTCCTAAGCATTTTAGTAAGATCTTATCTCAAAATAATCAATAAAAAGGGCTGGGGTTTGGGGTTATAGCTCAGTGGTAGCCTTGCATGTATGAGGCACTGGGTTTGATCCTCAGCACCACATAAAAATAAATAAATAAACAAATGAAGGTATTAAAGGGGGGGTGGAACTGGAGATGTGGTTCAGTGGTTAAGTACCCCTGGGTTCAATCCCTGGTACCAAAAAAGAAGAAGGGAGCAGTCAACATACTACATTTTGAAAAGAGGTCAAACTGAAGCCCAAGAAGTGATCCTGGATCATTTCCCAAACAAGGAAGTCATTGGTGTTAAGCAGTCTGTTGGGATGGCAGAACAAGTGTGGTCTGGTAAATGCTCAACAACCAACTCTACCCCCAAAGAGTATGCATTTTTTGTTTGTTTTTTAAAATATGCATTTATGTATATGGACAAGTTTTTAAATAAATTTTACTGTATTATAGCACAAAATTTATAGATAATAATAAAATATATAATATTATTTACCATAAATTCCATTCCTGTATTTGTGATTTTATAAATGGAATTGTAGCCTAACTACAAGTATAGTTCCAACATAAAATAAAGATACATGTTGAAACCCCACTGGTTTGTCAATGACTTGAGTGACTTCTTTGTTAAATCAGATAACAGTTTTCAAATCCTATGAATATTTGCAGTACTAGGGATTAGACAGGGGTGCTATACCACTAAGCTACCTCCCCAGCCACTCACCCACACCATTTTTTTTTTTTTTTTTTTTTTGAGACAGAGTCTCACTAAGTTGCCCAAGGCTGGCTTGAATTTGAATTTGCAATCCTCCTGCCTCAATCTCCCAAATTGCTAAGGTTACAGGAGTGGCCATAGCACCCACCTCACATCCTGAGAATATCTGGATTGTGCTATTCACAATGTAACAATTGCAGACATAACACTTTTAAATTTAATCCCCATTAACATTTTCTGTATCACTTTCTTAAATGTAGACAAATAAAAAAGCGTGATTTGTAGCATTTGCCAGTTTCCATAGTGTAAAAATTCCTGCTAATGTCTATTTCAAACCAGCTAAAAGTCAATAAATTAGTTGGGAACAGATGCATGCTAGAACATCACTATATATTATTTCTACCATACAGATACAATAAACAGAAATAATCACAGGAATGTATAACAAAAAAAATCACCAAGGCAGAAAGCACTTGGTACTTATTACCTCTTTTTATATTACTTTTTTTACTTATTTAAAAAATTTTTTTGATGCCAGGGGTTGAACCCAGGGCCTCAAGGTCTCTGAGTATGTACTCTTCCACTGAGTTATGCCTCAGCCTAACTATAGGTTATTTAATTGTAAGTTTACATGACCTTTAATAATGGTAAGCTGATAATCACCTTTCCTAAGTCAGTAGGAACACTCCACTGGGGGACAACAGAGGCAGACTGTAAGGGGATGAAATAGACCTTTCCTACCAAGGCATTAACCATGGCCAGCAAAGCACATCTTCCTGGCTTCCCCTCTTTGCTCCTGCTAAGCTCCAGGAGTTTAAGAAGCAATCTTTTTTGCCACACCTTGGGCAAATTCATCTCTACTCCATAGCACCTTTAATTATCTTTTGTAGGACTTTTCACAATTTGTAGAATTAAATCACTCTGGATGAACTAGAAATTGTTTCTTTTCTGTATTAGCCATAAGATTTGTAATGGTCAAAGCTGAGTATGGGTCTTTTTCACATCTATTCCCTTAGTCCTAGTTGCATCACTTTGCATATAGTAAGAGCTCAATAAGTAAGTATTGAATGAATGCTAAGAATGAAGGCCTGCTATAAGGACAGACAGAAAAGTTATGTGTATGTAAAGCATCATTAGAGAGTATCTCCTTGTATGAGTTTTGCTTATTTTTTTAATGGTGCGGTCTCTGCCATTCAGGACTGAAAAGTGTACAGAGAACCTTCCCAACCTACAGTGAATTTAAGAATATTCATTTTGTGACAAGACAGAACATTTGACTTTCGTAATTTGTGTTTCTATGTTATTATCAGCAAAGGCACGAAGGAGTGTGAGTGTTCTCATCAGACTACAGACTTAACAAGGATTTTACTAGGTTTGTGAGTGGTTACTCCAACTTCTAACGTGCTCTCATCCTGAGCAAGTAGTCCTCTAATGTTGAAGGTTGACAACATACTACTTGCAACACTAAGTATGACCGAAACTTTATAGAAAACGTGATATACAGCACCGGAAAAAAATTACAGCAAATTCCCCAGTACATAACCATAAAATATAAGAAAGCATTATCTTAAAATCAAGGGGAAAAAAAAAACAACACAACTGAATAACAAGCCCAACCCACACAAAAATCTCACTCGAAAAGTGAAACTAACACACAAGTTTTCTCTCTGTCACTGCAAATTAAAAGGTATCAGATCGCCAGGAAGAATCAGATAGGAGCAATCAGGGTGTTGCAAGTCCTGATTACGCAGAGACGTTAATCACGTATCATGCAAACTCCAATCATCACGTTCTATCTGCCCTCCGAAAGGAGGAACAGGTAAGGATTATCCCACCTGACGATACAAAGTACCCTTGCCTTGTCCGTACTCAGTAGAATAGATTCCGCTGTAAACTACGGTGAATATATAACAAGCTAACCTGATCAACTCAGCTACTTAAGGATCTTTTAATGCTAAAGCTGAATTTATTCGAAAACGTTTTAAAGTAAATTTTTTCCTTCCGCGCCAAAAAGGGAGAAATTAATTGCTCCCATAATGCTCTGCTCAATACGTGTACGGAGCTCTGAACACATCATTATTTACATATCCCCGCCCACTTCCTTCCGCCTGACATCTACCGTAAAAATCAAAGTAGAAGCGAAACTGGTTATCTTACTGTCTGTAAGGCTGAAACACAGCCTTTCTTTTCTCCAGCAGTTTAACTACCCCAATTGTCTCCTGCAAATTGCATAAGTCTTGCTCTTACTATAAAATATATTTTATTACAAGGCACTAAGGAAAACGCTAATCTCGTATTCGGGAGATAATTATCCCACTGCTATCCTTTACCAGAAATAGTTTGAGAGGAGAGGGAGAAGAAACTGAAGCCTATGCTTTCCTTCTTCCAGGAACGGTTAGCAGCTTCTCGCTCCTCCATCCTTCGTCCCTACTTTCTTTCCCGTCATGAAGGTGATCAGAAAGGTTTCTTTTTTAGACCAAGGACAGCGACGAATAAAGCCACTTCAGTGATAGCTGGGAGGGCACTGTGGAAGGTAAGAAATGAGTTCAGGGTCCCTTCCGATATAACACCCAAATCTTCAAACCAGAAACTCCACCCCCTAGGTCTAAGGAAGTGGGATGAGAGTGAGGGATGCAATTTCAAAAGACTACAAGATGTTGAGTGGATATGGTATATCATACATGAGGAAAGCCCTATATAGGGGAAACCTTCAGATTGGGGGTAATCCTTCTTCTTCCCCCATTCCCCAAATATTGAATACTATCACACCTGCAGAAGACAAAAATGTACCAGTATGTGGTACACTCCCAGCGCTCGAATATGAAGAAGGATAGAGCCACAGATGCACTACAGTGAGCCCCAATAGCTTGGAAATGCACCAGAGTCAAGGAAAGTCTTTGGATCCACAGGCAGTAATGGACCCGAAATGGCTGTCAGTGAGGCTGGCACCTGAACCGGAGTTAATCTCTCTCTTTCCTCATCATATTGCAAGGACCACAGTCAGCAGCCCTGTCTCTGAGTTTTAGGACAGTCATGTGAGTAGAGGCCAGAGCTGAGCTTGGCCAGATGTGGCCACCATTGCACACCTAGGGATCAGCCTGGACCCTTTAGGTGAGGTAAGGTAGGTAGGTTCTCTACTGGCATCACCCTCCAGAGCCATCATCCTCCTGGTCCACATTTCAAAAGTAAGAGCTTCCCTAATCCATGTGCCTCAATTCCTTGGCTTTATATCTTTACACCCTCCTTTGGAATTGTTTATTACTCTTACAGATGCATGTCTGTGTGTCTGCCTCCTTCCATGTGGGAATCTTCAGTGCCCAGTGCATAACAGGGCTTAACAAATTTTTTTGATAATTTATTTTTTAGTTATAGGTGGACACAATATCTTTATTTTATTTTTATGTGGTGCTGAAGATCGAACCCAATGCCTCACGCACGCTAGGGGAGTGCTCTACCTCTGACCCACAACCCCAGCCCCAACAAATGTTTGAAAATTGTATTAAATCCCCTGCACTGCCTTAGAAGATTTCAACTGGATTCTTTTTGCTGGCTTGGACAATTGTGCTAGAAAGGACTTGTTAAATGAAGGAAATCACGAAGGCAGAAAGGATACAGATGAGACCCTGAGTGCTGTTGAACATGGAAACTCCTGAGAAGAAACCGGCCAGCTCCACTGCAAAGAGGGCCAGGGTGACAGACAGTGCTATCACCAGCCTGCAAAGAGAAAAGGGATTGGCTCAGAACTTCTGGACTTCTTCAAGACCCTTTCATTCCCACCAACTCGGGTCAAAGCACCCGGCCCCAAGAGCTCACTGAATGTCTTGCTTCTCATATTCCTCGGGAGTGAACCTGAGAGGCAGGCAAGCTTGGATGTTGCTGTCCTGGGAAGCAGGGAAGAAAGGAAGAGAAATGAATGATGGGTGGACTGCGGGGAATGGAAGGATACAAAGGGGCAAGGCCCCAAAGGGGTGAGGCAGGATTGGGGTGGGGCAACTCGGAGATGGGAAAGGGGGTGAAAGGAGGGAGGGCAGCTGTGTGTCTTACCCGGGACCAGAATAATGTGATGACGACCACTAGATGCGCCAGAAGTGTCAGGAAGCGAGAAGGCACGAGCCCTGAGATCCGACCCATGGCCTTTGGGGACAGGAGCACGGCCTTAGAGGATGGGAGTATAAAGAGGATCACTCCTAGAGTCTCTGCTAGCGGGCAAAAATCTCCGCTTACGCCTACTTCGCGCGCGCTCTAGCGCCACCCAGTTGTCTTGGTAACTGTGTAGGCCGGCGCCACGCCTCTTTCTCCGAAAATCTCGCGAGAGGAGTAAACTCACGCGCTGCCGAGGGGAACCTGGATGTCAGTGGTTCGCAGCTACAGCTGCCCTCCGGCGTCGGTTCGGCAGTCTGAGGCTGAGAGTGCACGCTGTAGCAAGCCCCGCATCACCGAATTTGTCCTCTTAGGGCCGGCAAATAGAGACCCGCCCTTACCTCGCCCGGGAACACCCGGCCGCCCTATCCTGATACCCGTGTGGTCTCCTTACCTAGCCCAGGACGACCCTTCGCCTAAGAGTTGCCCGAGACCGATCCACCTCTACGCCAACTTGGGTTACCACCATGCCAAAATATGGATACTCTCCCCTTCCCTCATCTGCATCCCTTTGGCTTTCCACTGCCCTGGGCCCGAGAAAGCAAGGAAACCCAACGTAAGGAGTCTGGTGTCCCTAGATTGTCCGGTAGTCATCTGTTATCATGGAGCTCTTCGTTGTCAATGACCCCAGACCTGAGCCTTCCTTAAAGAAGGCTCTGCTTTCACCCAGATAACTTGGCTTAGTTTGAGGAGGGATTTTTGCCGGGATGCAGGAGACAGCCAATATCCTGGATTTAGAGTGTGAATGAGGTTCGAATTTCGGGAGCGGAGAGGATCATCAGGACCAAAAAGGGAGTGGGGGGAGTGGAGGAAGGGAATAGAAGTCTACTTCAGACCCAACTCGGATTTCATTGTCGCTTGGAGGTGCTGGATTCCCAGCAGTCCAAGAACCTCTTACTAAGGACAACCAGAGTAACCTTTGGGCCTCAAGGAGAATCCCTGAGGATTGGAAAGTTCTCACCACTGTGGGGAACCATTCCAAACGCAGGCACCTTTAAATCCTGATGCACCAGGGGCATCTGAAAGATCACTGTATTCTGGCTTGGTAGTGCCATGACTGGGGTCTTTTCCCTCGCAGGGATAACAAAGCGTGGCCCTAGGAGTAGGCGGCACCCAGAGGGGTTGAGCTACACTCACCAGTTCCCTTGTAATCCTACCCCCTGCCTCATTTGAATGGCTTCTTCCCCATAAGTGTTCAGCACCCGCTCCTCTCGCTCTTTCCATGGACCCCTAAGGTCAGAGGAGCCATCACAGGACCCAAAGAAAAAGGTACTTTTCTGTCTCTGTGTGATTATTTCGTGCAGCCTAGTTCACCTGAGGTGACCTGGGTGTTTTAGTCGTGGATTGGGACACACCACGTTCTTTGTTCACATTAGAGTCCCATCCTTAAGGGACCTTTGAGCCTATTTCAGGAGAACAATCGCTCACCTCCCCACTCCCTTTCAGTGCCTTTAAACTAGACTAAATGAGAAACCCAAGAGACATTCTGATTCGTTTATTCAACAAATATTTATTGACTATCTAATAAGTGCCAGACACTGTGCTGGGCTCTTGAAGTTCATTGGCAAACAAGACAAAGTTCCTTCTTTCCTTTAGTTTATATTCTAGGCAGGGAGGTAAATCACAAACATGTATACAAATAGGAAACCCACAAGGTAAAAGGTGTTATAAATACAATTTTAAAGGAAAACATTAGAATAATATGATCAAAGCGAGGTTCTTTGAAAATAGGGATTTGTCCTTAAATTGTGTTTTAGGGAATCAGGCCAAAAATGAGAGGAAATGTGTTTCTGACTCTCAAGACCCCAAAGAAATAATAAATCAGTGGGTGAAAAAAGTTAGAATTTCTAAAAAAAATCAAAGCTTTTGCTGGACACATAGGCCTGTAATCCCAGCAGCTCAGGAGACTGAGGCAGGAGGGTCACAAGTTCAAAACCAAGTCTCAGCAGCAGTGAGGCGCTAAGCAACTCAGAGAGACCCTGTCTCTAAATAAAATACAAAATAGGGCTGGGATGTGGCTCAGTGGTTGAGTGCCCCTGAGTTCAACCCCCAGTACCCCAAGAAAAAAGATCAAAGCCTTTTGGTCAAGGTCATGAATGAAAAGACTGAGGAGCTCTTCCAAGTCAAGGGAATCTAAAAAAGAAATGTCAAATTTGACATCACAACTTTAACATGAGATCCTGAATTAGGGGAAAAAAAAAACTTTTTTCTTTTATTATAAAGGACACTATTGGAACAATTGACATTTTTTCAATAAGGTTTGTAGCTTACAATATAGTATTGCATTAGTGTTACTTTCCTCACTTATTTGTTTTGTGGTGCTGAGGATCAAACCCAGTACCTCTTGTGTCCTTGCTAGGCAAGCACTGTATCACTGAGCTCCCTCAGTTCCAGTTTCCTGATTTTTCATTATTGCACTGGCTTTAGAACATAAACACTGAAGTACTTAAGGAGCAAAGGGGCATTCTGTTTGTTAATTACTCTCAAATGGCTCAGAAAAAAATATAACGAGATGGAAAGACAATGATGAAAAAAGATGGTCTGAGTGAAGGCGCAGTGTAATTTTTTTTTTTTTTTTTTTTTTGTATTATTTTTGCAGTTTTTCTGTAAATTGAATCACTTTTCTAAAAAATTGCGGTTGGGGGCTGGGGATGTGGCTCAAGCGGTAGAGCGTTCGCCTGGCATGCGTGCAGCCCGGGTTCGATCCTCAGCACCACATACAAATAAAGATGTTGTGTCCGCCGAAAACTAAAAAAAAAATAAATAAATATTAAAAATTCTCTTTCTCTCTATCGCTCTATCTCTCTCACTCTTTCTTTAAAAATAAAAAATAAAAAATTGCGGTTGGGTGCAGTGGCTTACACGTGTAATCCCAGCAACTCAGAAGGCTGAGGCAGGAGCATCCCAAGTTTGGGGAGAGCCTAGACAACTTAGTGAAACTTTGTCTCAAAAAAATAATAAAGGACTGGAAATGTAGCTCAGTGGCAGAGCACCCCTGGGTTCAATCCCCAGTACTATAAATAAATACATAAATTTAAAATAAAATTTAAAAATGTTTTATTCTTTTTGCCTCTTTGGTGCTGAGGATTAAACCTAGGGCCTTGCACATGATGCAACCTAACATTGAGGTACATCTCAGCCTCTCTTCTGAGTCTTATGTAGTATCATTATTGAGACACGAAATAACATCATAAAACAAAAGGAATAATCACTGAGGCCCCCTATATTTTCAACTCTTGTGTATTGAAACTTTTTTTCCTTGTAATACTGAGGGTAAAATCCAGGGCCTCAAGCATGCTAAGCAAGTGCTCTTCCATTGAATTTACCCCAAATTCTTGTATATTGAAATTATTTAAAGACATTTTCATATAAAGCCACCTCTTTAGAAGGCAGCACAACCTTTCCCTTATAATGGAGGCAGTGTTATCACCAAAATTATCTTTAATCCTATAAAATAAAAACTGTGAAAATCCAATATTACCCACACAGGTTCTTCAACTTTAGTGTGTGAAGAAATTTCTCTTCTTGACTGTGGAACCCATTCAAAGTTCTGAAAATATTTTCACATCGCCCCCATCTCAGGAGAGACAAACAAAACCATCATGTACAGTGGACAAAACTGCTTTTCTCTTTTGCATTTGACTCCTAAAATGAGTGACACTGATACATCTAATTTACAATGAGCCATGCATGTCTCTTATCTTCCAACACAGAAATTAACAGTATAGCAAATATGCAAAGTTTCTTAGGATATAAAAAAGATAAAAAAAACTGAAGAGTTTATGTTTTTCTTCCTTTTGTCAGAAACATATATGCATTTTCTCCTAGGAATCAAAAACCCAGGCTGAGCTCCCCTGGTCACAGCTTATCAAAGAAAGGAGGCTATGTCATAGGGCAAGAGTGAAGAAAATCTTGGATTTGCTTTTGCAAGATTTTCCAAGGTCCCTGAATAAAATGAAGAGAGCCAGCCATGTGAATATCTGGGGAAAGAGCATTTTAGTCAGAGAGAAGAACAAGTGCAAGGGTGGTGGGAATGAGCCAAGTGTGTTTGTTGAACAGAAAGGAAACTAGTGTTTCTTAAGCCTAGTGATGAAAGAAGAAAGAAAACCCAGGGGTACTGAAACACCGAGCTACATCCCAGCTCCTTTTAATTTTTATATTTATTTAATTATTTATTTCTTTTTTATTTTATTTTATTTTGGGTATCTGAACTCAGAGACACTAGACCACTGAGCCACATCCCCAGCTCTATTTTTGAATTTTATTTAGAGAGAGGGTCTCACTGAGTTGCTTAGTGCCTTGCTTTTGCTGAGACTGGCTTTGGACTCAGGATCCTCCTGTCTCAGCCTCCTGAGTTGCTGGGGTTACAGACATGGACCACCATACCCAGTGGAGAATAGATTTTAAGATTTGAAGCAGAAGATGAATGAGAAACACACAGAATTATCTAGAAAGGACAGGTTGAGGCTTAGACCAGATTGGAGCTAAGAAATTACAGTGAAGTAGGGGGAATCAGTGTAGTCATACGTATATAGGGTAATCATGTCCTTCATTGCTCTCTCCTTCCCATCTCCATAGCCCATTTCCATAGCCTGCTTCTCTCCCCTCACTCCCCTCTGCACAATCCAAAATCCCTTAATTCCCCCCACCGACCCCTTTTTATTTTTTTTATCTTGAGACAGGGTCTCACTAAATTGCCCAGGCTGTCCTCAAACTTGTGATCCTCCTGCCTTAGCCTCTGGAGTCTCTGGGACTATAGGAGTAGCTGGGCTTGCAGGCATCGGCCCCTGCACACCACCCAGCGTATTGTTTTTAAGATTCATACACATAGTGTGTCAGTATTTCATTCCTCTTGATGGCTGAATAACATTCTATGCATGCATGTGATCACACTTTATTTATTTAAGCCATTCATCAGTTGGATGTTGGATTTGTTTCTGCCTTTAGGCTACTGTGAATAGTGCTACTGTGATCATGTACAGGTATTTGAGTACCTGTTTTTAGTTCTTTGAGGAATAAACATCAGAGTAGAATTTCTAGGCCACATGGCAACTCTGTTTAACTT